TATTTTTTTCTGTATTTTCGTAATGCTAAGTTCCTTTCCATAAAAAAAATCTCTAAACCATGTTCGGCTAATCCCCGTGAGAGAGGGATTAGAGAGGATTATTTTCATGCCTAAATAGGTATAAAATCATTTCTCTCTAAATCCTTCTCAATCATCTTTTGGATGGTATTAACCGAACAAGGCCTAAGGAGTTTTATGGATTTTTCTGAATGTTTATTAACTTAGTGTGAACCAACGAATAGGCCTGAGCAATTGCATTACATATTGCTAAGTACAAAAATAATTAAATTTGAGATTGTACAAATATATTGTACACTGTAACGTATACAAATACGTACTGTATAATTGCATAAGCAAAGCAACATGCACATTTGTAGAGACCACAAGCTAGATATATAGGCCAACAGTAGCAGATCCAGAAAATCGATTCATTGGTGTCATAACGTGTCTATCGGTGTCATAGTATGCTAATTATGCTTAGAATATGATGCTATAATATATGAATAAGTAGTTTTGCTATAGGTTTTACCGAAAGTCATCGGTGTCGCCTGACACCGATGACTATACTGTAGATCCGCCCCTGTAGGCCAATATAATCCGAACGAAGTAAAATATGGAGCTATTCAATTCGAGTACAAGACGAACCCTGAATCATCACACGCTGAGCACGCACCTATACATAGATTTGGCTTCAGAGTTCAGACGATTCAGTAACACACACTAGAATGCAAAAATCTGCATAAACGCTCACGAAACGTTGCTACATTAGTACTATAGTACTACCGGCATCGGTAGATCTTCAAGCAACCCCTCTGCGGCAAGTTGGACCTCCCTGGCACGCACGACCGAGCGCACACGGGCTGATTCGGAATGAAGCCTTTGTAGGTGAGGCCGTTCGGCGCCGCCGCGGCCATGCTGCCGGCCGTGAGCACGGCCGCCATTGCCACCACCACCGCCACCGCCACGCCGAAGACAAAGCGGATGGCAACGCGGAAGCGGCCAATCTGCCGCTCCGGCGCCATTGATGGATATCAAACCGGTCATTCTGGTGCAGACTAGATGTCTAGATTCTTGGTTATTTATGCGATGATGGGCAGCGGTTGGTGGGAAGAGGGTGGCCAACAGTATTGCTATGGTATGTACATGCTTATCATTTACTTCCTCCGTCCTGTAAAAGCCAATATAATATTGGATGTGACGTATTTTAGTACTATAAAATGGATATATATATGTCTAGATTTATTGTATCAGAACGTGTCATATATAATTTTAGATTCGTTTTTTTAGACAGAGGGAGTGCTGGTCACTGAGTTCATGGAAGCTTGCGTTGCTACGTACGAGAGGGTGTTCAGGGTGCGTAGCGCAATGTTTGCCATCATCCCAATCATGTTGTACGGCTAGTTGACTAGTTTTGTTTTGCCTTATGTTTGGTGCTTGCAGGAGACAAGAGAGGCCCTCGTGATCAACAGTACACAACTTGACAGCTTGGCTCGGCTGCTTTGGTCGGTGAGCTGCTGAGATATGTGGGTTTACATCGTCCGGTTGGAAATATTTGATGGTTGTGATAACATTTGGCTAAAGTCTTCAAATATTTGATGGTTGTGATAACATTTGGCTAAAGTCTTCTAGACCATCAATAATTTTGCAAACGTCTAGTAAAAAAGATACGGTATGGATATATATGTTCCAAAGAATACTATTAATTATAATGTTATAGCATAATAATTGATGTTTTGAATATTCGACCAAATCGTGTGAAATGGACTCCTCTTGGCATTAGTAGAAGTAACGTTAAGAGTTCCGAAGCTAGATCGCATTGATATGGTGTATCATAATGCATGCATGATATGTGCTGTTGGGAAATTTTGACCTAGCCAGTAGCATATAAACAGGGCCAGCCCAGGGGGGTCGAGCGGTACGACCGCTTTGGCCCCCCAAATCGCAGGGGCCCTCACCCAACACCACCCCCCCTCCCCCCGCCCCCGCCCCACCCAGGCCTAGCATCAAGGCGAACAGACGCGCCGTGCGCAGAAGCCGGAAGCGGAAGGCGAACAAAATGCGATCCCGCGATTGCCGCCGCTCTTCTAATCTTTTCCTCCTCACGGCACCAAAATCGCGCGGCGCAATGGCGCAAGGCCACGCATCGGCGCGCCGGTGGCCGGCTTCCCCTTTTTCTTCCGCTGCTCCGTACGACGGTCGACGGCAGTAGGGTACGAGGTGCAGTGCAGCTGTGACTCCGTGAGCGCCTGGCGGATGCAGCCGCTGCCGCCTGCCACCTCTTGAATCTTGATTCAGGTATTACTATTAGCTAGGATCCTATGTGCCTGTGCATTTACATGGTAGCAGCTGGATTAGCTTCGTCTGGTTCAGTTATGTATAGTCGTCAGATTAAAGAATTTGCTATACAAGCTTTGGCTGTTAACCGATCGTCAAATAAAAAATTGAAATTTACTATTGTGATTTTTATCTATTAATATGTAAATAAGCATTTATTGATGTATAGTCGTATGTTAGGTTTATTCAGTTGTTCCAATAGTTAGACATGACGAAGACACTAGTGTGTATTTCTGACTCACTTGCGGTGTGCATCTAGACGCTTGTGATCAACTAATTGGTACGATTTTAAATTTTGATTTGTAATTTTGATTTGTAATTTTGTTATGTAATTTATATGAGTTAAACTACTATATTTTTTTTGAATTATCAGGCCATGTCGTCGAGAAAGTATGCAACGGGTAGTGAGAGAAAAGGGAAAAAAAGAAAAGGGTGGATGATATGATAGAATCGCAGAAGAAACTTTTAAGGTAACATGTGCATTATTGTCTATTTAAATATTATTTCTGAATGCAATTTAAATGTTTATAGTATTAATTCAGTATATGTAACTATTGATAATAGTATGGTAAGGGTCTCTAAATTTAGTTTCCCACCAGGACCCTAAAAAGTCAGGACCGGCCCTGCATGTAAACCAGGAGATCACATATGGTCGTTCTCACCCATTACATGTGGGATCCACATATCAGTTTCCATAATTACAAATTACATGTATTGGTCGGTATAACCAACGCCTTCCAATACAGGTGGTGTCGCTCTGTCATCATCTTCTCCTCGAGACACTAAACCGATATAGCATATATCTCTGGACTACTAAATTGGTGGTTTTGTATGGTGGTCATGTTGACTATTTGACTTGATGTTCATTCCTTGTGACGTCTACATGACAATTAGGTGATATTAGAAGAAAACTAAAACATAGAAAACTCAAATGGACCTGCATATCAATCGGTAAAAAGAATTGAAAACGTGGGCTCATATATTAGTCTGCCCTCAAGTGTGCTCGCTTGCGCTGCATGCCTCTCCCGCCGGCGTTGGCGTCGATGTCCCTGCGGCCAGCCACAGCGGTTCCAGTGGTTCACGCGGAGTTCCTCCACTCGCTCATCGCCTCCAAGGGCTGCGCACTTGCGCACCCATCGTTATCCGCCTCACTCACCCTCTCTCGTTGTGTTTTGCTCGATCGTACGGGGGTTCATGGCGATCGCTCGAGTGTTGGATTGAGCCAGACGGGGATCGAGTCAGTCGGTGGTCATGGAGGAATGCACGCCGCATTACTTGGCACGTGGTGGGGTTCACGTGAGCCACACACTGAGTGCACCCACAAGGGCTGACTGCACTGTAGAGAGGATGACCCTTGTCACCACCGTCATGTACGAGGCTGCTCCACCACTGCCTCACTCGCCACCAGCGTCTCCCGCCGCGTGCAATACAAGAAGAAACATCGAACGGTCATATAAGGTAAGACCCACTACCGATTTAACCTATCCTTCCCACAATCTAATCCACTCATTTCTCCTCCCACGATCTTATTCTCTCATTTCTCCTCACTATTTTTGCATTTGTAGGAAACACAATGACACCGTCGAAGAAAGCTGGTGGAGCACCGTAGCCAGCAATCACCAAAACACAGAGGGGAGGAGGTCGGCAGCGGCCATGCGGACGGCGACGAGACAACGTGACGCAAAGAGGGAGGAGGACGTTGGCGATCATGCTGGTGTTGGCGGAGGAGGTCACTGGCCACGCGGATGACAGCGGGGCAGCGCAACACAAAAAGGGGGGAGGATGCCGGCGACCACGCTAGTGACCATGAAGCAAGATGATGTGAAAGGGAGGACCGGACGAGGGTTGGACCTCTGCTGCCGACATGAAGAGCGTGATGTGTAGAAGGAGATGTTAGACCAGATGCCGACGCAACTAGCCCTGGCAAGGTCACCCGACTGATATCGCTGCTTGCCCTTGTCCTCATGTACACAATCAGCTTGCTTATCTCTCCCATACTGGTCGTTTGTTTCCCGTGGCCGAAATAGAAGAAGACAGAGGTAGGTTTTGTTAGAGAATTTTAGTGGTATTGTAGCCTATTTGTAATTTTGTTGTACTTTATTGTATTAATCAATAAAGGTGTTTCATTCTATTTTGACTCAATGTTGAATCCATTGATCTCTTGGTGTTGCACTCAGTATGTTAGAATATTACATTCCGTTGAAACAATCTTGGTTAAGGGTTGGAACATTTTTATCTGTTCGTGAAACATCCGTAATATTTTCGTTGAAACAATTTTTATCGACAGCACCGTCCAACAATTTACACCAATTTGGACGTGTGATACATAGCAGTCCCCAAGTGAAACTGACCACCAGTTGAAAGGTATACAAAGTGAACTTATTCATCTAAAAGACCGCAGAGATGGGCCGTGGGCCGTGGCCTGCGAAACGCAGCGTTCAGGCCCATGAGCATTTATTTTTTAAAAAAATATTTCACAACAAAAAAGAGAACGGATAAAATCCATCGAAAAAAAAAACTTTCCTACGCATCCTCTCCTATCTCCATCCACGGCGAGCACTCATCCAAACCGTCCATCCACGCGCACAGTACACACACATAGTTATCGTCTCTCCCCCCGATGAGTCACCACCCGTGTCTTCGAGAAACGCCTCGCCCGACACCGTACGTGGCGCCACCGCCGCGCCTGCCGCCTGGACACGTCCGGCTCCTCTCCACGCCGCGCTGGCCACCGTCCACCGGCTCCCGCACACGTCTCCCTGTCTCCCTCCACCCATGCCGTGGCAATCGAGCTCATCTCCTCGCCTCCTCCGGCTTATAAATGGCGGCCACCACCTTCACCTGCTTGCACACCACAGCAAGAGCTAAGTGAGCTAGCCACTGATCAGAAGAACACCTCGATCTCCGAGAGTTTTTTTTCAGCTTTAGCTTAAGCAGGATGGAGCACCAGGGGCAGCACGGCCACGTGACCAGCCGCGTCGACGAGTACGGCAACCCGGTCGGCACCGGCGCCGGACACGGCCAGATGGGCACCGCCGGCATGGGGACGCACGGCACCACCGGCGGCATGGGAACGCACGGCACCACCGGCGGCATGGGGACGCACGGCACCACCGGCACCGGCGGCGGCCAGTTCCAGCCGATGAGGGAGGAGCACAAGACCGGCGGCGTCCTGCAACGCTCCGGCAGCTCCAGCTCAAGCTCGGTACAAACATTTTGCCCCCAATTCTTTACCCCCCCAGTAAAACCTTGCGTACAAATTCGTTGAAAAATTTTAATGTCTTTGTGACAGTCTGAGGATGATGGAATGGGAGGGAGGAGGAAGAAGGGGATCAAGGAGAAGATCAAGGAGAAGCTCCCCGGCGGCAACAAGGGCGAGCAGCAGCATGCCATGGGCGGCACCGGCGGCGCCTACGGGCAGCAGGGCCACGGCACCGGGATGACCACCGGCACCACCGGCGCACACGGCACCACCACCACCGACACCGGCGAGAAGAAGGGCATCATGGACAAGATCAAGGAGAAGCTGCCCGGCCAGCACTGAGCTCGACACACCACCACACCATGTGTCTGCGCCGCCGGCGACGGCCGCCACGTCACCTTCCTGAATAATAAGATGAGCTAGCCGAGCGCAATAAAAGGAAAAAAAAAATGTTACTGTCGTGTGATGAGTGTGAATGTGTGATGGCGTTCTCCAGTACGGACCGTGTCTGCGTGTTGTTTGTACTGTGAAAGTACGCTGTGTATGTACGTCGTATGTGTACAATTCCGCTTTGTTGAAATACGTATAAATATATACTGTGTGTACATTATACGGTGTATATCTCATCGTGCATATGTACACAACGTTTTGGTGATCGTTATAATGTTCATTTTTTTCCTTATTCTGATCAATCTGGATCATAGGCTCGAGAAATTGCTATAGATCAACGGCCGGAAATTGCAGAACAAGAAAGTGATCCTATTGAGTATTAGAAATGATTGATCGTTACTACCTTATAAGAAGGGCCCCGGACTTTTGTTCTCGAATAAGTAAAAAAAAAACGAAATGATTGCGCGTCATCCCGATAGAAGGGCAAATACTCCGTAATTGTCCTCGCCGTAACCTTAAAAAAAGGCACTCACTGTGGAATGAATGTACAAAATTAGTTTATTATAGCATCCAAAGTTTCGAGTCTTCCCCGGTCGGCTATCTTTCCTAAAAAATCATAACTTGCATATGCATTTAAAACAAAATCAATCTGTTCAAATTGAAGACATGAATTCAGGTAAGCATGTTTAACCATAAAAGGATATTGCATCGCGCGTTGAGCACAGGTACGATCGGTCTATCCCTTTCTATATTTGATGAGTAATTTTACCCTTTTCTAAGGAGGTACCACTTTTTCCTTTTTTTATACCTCTCGATATATATTTAATAAGGAGGTACCATTTTTTCTATTATAAATTTGATATCTCTTAATATATTAATATATATTTGATGTTCTATTATAAATTTGATATCTCTCGATATATATTTAATAAGGAGGTACCATTTTTTCTATTATAAATTTGATACCTCTTAATATATTAATATATATTTGATGAGTAATTTTACCGTTACGAGGAGGTACCAAATTTTTTATTACTAGAAAAAATATCCATTGTAACGGGTGAAGCCTATTTTATCTTATTATTGTTATTTGGTTTAGAAAAAAATATCCATTGTAACTGGTGAAGTATATTTTATCTTATTATTGTTATATGGTTTATTATTATTATATGGTTTAGTTAAGATGCGATTTACTGTAGCAGTTCGCTTGGGATATATTTTTAGAAAATCATGAGCTACAGTTAAGAGTCCGATCATCTCAAATTAGCATACGAGTTTTTTTAAACATATTTCTTATATGATTTCTTATGTATTATCAAAGTGAATGCTCTTAAAAACCGACTCAAATATGGAGATATATTTCCAAAAGCAAATGAACTTAAAAACTGACTTATACACGGATGACGTACCAAAATACCGGCAAAAGCATCTTCAATTTTTATATTTATAGTAGTAGAGATAGAGAAGAGATATAGATTACCGACTCAAATACGAATATGTATTTCCAAATGGAAACGAACTTAAAAACCGACTCATACACGGATGACGTATCAAAATACCAGCAAAAACATTTTTAATTTTTATAATAGTAGAGAAGAGATATAGACTAAAACAAAAACATAAAATTAAAACCAACTCAAATATGGATGACGAATCACAGAAACATCTTTAATTTTTATAATCGACTCAAACATAGATGACGGACTGCATAAACATTTTCAATTTTTATAATAGTAGAGATAAATTTGATACCCCTCGGTACCGAGATTTTATGAGGTATCAAATTTTGGTATCTCATGTTACCAATGGTACCTCTTCACGCTAGAATTGCTCATTTTTTATTGGTTTTTGCTAGACTTGATCCGTTTCCCGTTTTGTAGATTTTGTCGTTTTGTTACCATCATGCACATATGTGGTCCTAGACTAGAGAGTGTAAAGGAACGGCCTAATATCTTTTCTCTTTTTTTTATTTTTATGACATTTTTCTAATCTGGTTTAAAAATTTTATGCATAGAGTTTCTATACCTAATAATTTCTATTTAAGAACTAGGGTAGCCCTCGTATTCGTGTAGGCATGCATATTAGTTTGTCTTGTAAATAGGTTTAACAAAATAAATCCAAATTAAATGAGGCATTTTTCCTTTTTAACTGAATGTTTTCTCTTGTAAATAGGCTTAACAAAAATAAATCCAAATTAAATGAGGCATTTTTCGTTTTTAACTGAATGTTCATCGTCACTCTTTTTTAAATCTCTTCGAGAAACTTTTATTGCTATTCCTCTCTTTAATTGATTAATGCATGGATGTGAATTAATAAAAATAGCAAAGTTCTTTAAAATTATATTTTTTTTATTTTGAATTTAGTGAGTGAGTGATTTTAATTTCATTTTTTTTATTTTTTTATAAATTTATTTTGTGGGATTTCAAAATTGTATTGTGTTGTGTTGTATTTTTGTTCTTCTTTTAAAACTTATTTTATTATTTCGAATTTCAAATATTTATATATATTCTACATGGACTCTTATTATATTTTTATTTACAATTTTAGTGAAGATTTTATTTTATCTTTTAATGCTTCTTTTAATTTTTTTCTGAAATTAATTACAAATTCCTCGTAGTAGATCTACCATCGTTGTTTACCTCCGAAATTTTAGATAGTAAATAGCTCAGCGCTGAATTGAATGGCGTTGACTCCTTCTGACCTGGCCAATTTTTGCTAGCTCGGATGAAATATCAGCGTTAATATGTATGGCGCTAAAACGTTACACCTCTGAGTCAACGGCCTATTTTTATAATAAGTTTTTGGCATGGTCTATTCTTAAAATAAGTTTTCTCAAAGGGTCAATTTGTCAAAATTACGGTATTCATCTCACAGATAATCTCGCTGACATCCTCATCGCTGAGCCTCTTTCAATGCATTGGCTATGATGTGATGAAGCATAGCACGGAGATAAAGTCGTCTTCTGGTCTTTGTCGAACACGCTGAACGCCTCCATCGAGGAGTCCTTGTCCTTTTATCTAATCATCGAATGCGCCATTAGGGCCACAAACTCTGATGGAAATCGATGTTGCCACTGTCGTCGGTGTCCACCTTGTTGATCATGTCCTGCAGCCTCGCCTCCGCCGGATTCTGGCCGTGGCAGAGCTCGACAATGGAGATGAAGCCGGCTTCTGGTTTTTGTTGAAGACATGGAACCATTCCTGCAGCTCTTCCTCGGAGTCCTTGGCCATCTAATCATCTTGAATGCTATTAGGCTCAGGAACTCTCCTAGAAGCCGATGTTGCCGGCATCCGCTTCCACTTTGCTAATCGTCCAGATCTGCCTCCGTCGGGTTCTATCCTAGAGTACCTAACATGGTTTCGAGGTCTTTGCTGGTGGTAGAACCTGGACTATGGACTCAAATATTTAAATTCGGCTATTGCTTTTAAAATACAAATTTTGTTCTCAAATTTATTACAGTGTCACGTGTAGCTTAGGAGCGTTTGCAGGATTTTATGTCTTAAATTGTTGAGCTAATTATAAATAAAATAATGGTCCATACATGCATATTCATAATTGAATATACAACTTAAAACATATGGGACTTAATTTAAATGGAGGGCACTACGCGTCGGGCGCCCGATCTTGGGTGGGAAAAATCGGACGCTCACGTCAGCTGACGTCAGCACGCATGCATGCATGCATGCAAAACTATTTTAACTATTTTTTCTTTTAAATTATTTTAACCAAATTATAATCCGATTGCACCATTAAATTCGTTGCAATTAAATCTTTAAAACAAGACTGCACATGGATATATTCCGATGAAAATTTTTTTAGCTTATTATTGAATTATTTTTAAATATTTCACGTTGTTTCACCAAGTATATCAGAATTGTTTCACTAAGTAGATCGAAAATGTTTCAATCGTTTAAATCGACCGTTGTTTCACCTTATATAAAAACAATGTTTTAGCAAATAGCGAAAAAATGCTTGAATTCACTACAACATTTAATCTATATATATTTAAACATCACGAGTACACTAGGTGAAACATTTTTGGTGCAACAAAGGATGAAACAGATTTTCTTAATAGAGGGTTTCCATAATATGTGTGTGATTTGTTGAAAAAAAAGTTTCAATTCACTGCAACATTTTATTCATACATAGTGAAACATTATGAGTGCACTAGGTGAAACATTTTTAGTGAAACAAAAAATAAAACGAATTCCCTTAATAGAGTGTTTCCAAAATATGTGGGTGATTTGTTGCAATGGAGTATGTGGTGGAGACACGTGGCAGGGGGTAGGGGCACTGGTGGGGCCCAGGAGGCAGAGCCCGTCGCGGGGGGAGGGAGCGCCCAATTTTTCTCCCTCCCCCGAGCGACCGACGCAAAGGATTATTGAATTTAAATTTTGATTGTTTCTTTGTTTGAGTTTATCCTAGAAAATTAGAAGGAAAAGAGAGGCAGAGGCCGGTACGTATGTGTGTTCAATTCTTCATCGCACGGGGATTGATGTGCCTGATAGGATGGGGTACTTTGGGTTACTTTGAGTTTCTATTTAAATAGATTTAATCTAATAGTATAAAATTATAGGACCATTTATTTAACTGAAAATCAATGATTATATCAATAACCTTTTTGCTTCTTGTAACTTATAGGACTTGCTCTAATTTATTAGTGTGCCAAATGACGGCTTAAGAGCGTTTAAATAAAGTTTAATAAACTTTGTATAATAAATATAATATATGATTGTTAATAGACTTAACGTTTTGTTTTTTCTAATATTTTTTCTATAGAAAATTATTTAAAAAATTCATACTGATCTATTTTTATATGTTAACTAATACATAATTAATTATATGCTAATCTATCTCATCGATTTACGTGCCATGTGCCAGAAGATATACGTTTCTAACTTATGGTCTGTTTAGTTCGCGAAATGAAAATTTTTTAGCTATCACATCGGATGTTTGATCGGATGTCAGAAGAGATTTTCGGACACGAATAAAAAATCGCCTGAAAACCACGGGACGAATCTTTTTAGCCTAATTAATTCGTCATTAGTACATGTGGGTTACTGTAGCACTTATAGCTAATCATGAACGAATTAGGCTCAAAAGATTCTTCTCGCGATTTCTCTTCTAACTGTGCAATTAGTTTTTTTAATTTAAGTATGTATTTAATGTTCTATGTATTAAAGATTTGTGCAATGGTTTTGAGAAAAAAATTTTGGGAACTTTAAACCTGGCCTCAGTCATACCTCAAAACACATCCTTGTCGACGAGTCGTCGTCCTTCCCCGATGCGGCGATAGTCCACCGGGCATCCGTGAACTCCGTATCATCACGATCGCTCGTTCCCCCACCGGCCACAACAGATATCGAACACGTGCATGTCTTCTTATCCATCTCTATCCATCTGCATGGATATGATGGTATGCATGCAGCACGCGCGGTCATCTCCCCCACACAGATAACAAAGTGTCCAGAAGAACCCAACGGAAACACAGTACGTGGCAGCAGGTTGCCGCGTGGCACCACCGACACAACGCGCTACTGCAGGCAGCTCGTACACGTCCCTCCTCCGCCTTTATTCCCTCGATATTGCCAGCTCCGCCTCCCGGCTCACCCATGCGTCACACGTACCCCCATCTTCCACGGCCTCCTTCCTGATGACCAAATTAAGCTTCCATTTTTTTTTAACTCCAGTAGAGAGATCACACGTACACAACCCACAGTCTCGCCGCGGTATAAATGGCAGGGCACCCCGGCCAGCTGCTTTGCTGCATCGATCGACGGCTTTGACACAAGTCATCTTACTGATAGCAACAACACTAGCTGGAACACTTGGGTACACGAGTTCAGGGATCTAGCCAGAGCTAATTAAGCGGAGAGTTATTAGCTTTTAATTTGCTTGAGAGGATGGACAACTACCAGGGGCAGCACGGCTACGGCGCCGACCGCGTCGACGTGTACGGCAACCCGGTCGGCGCCGGCCAGTACGGCGGCGGCGCCACCGCGCCCGGCGGAGGCCACGGAGCGATGGGGATGGGAGGTCATGCCGGCGCCGGCGCCGGCGGCCAGTTCCAGCCGGCGAGGGAGGACCACAAGACCGGCGGCATCCTCCACCGCTCCGGCAGCTCAAGCTCCAGCTCGGTACGTTCACTGTCGTCCATTCATAAATCTAATTAATCGCCTCGCTTCTGAATTCCTTTATTTAATTTGAGTTGTACTCGTGTGCGTTTGTGCAGTCGTCTGAGGACGACGGGATGGGAGGGAGGAGGAAGAAGGGAATCAAGGAGAAGATCAAGGAGAAGCTGCCCGGCGGCAACAAGGGCAACAACCACCAGCAGCAGCAGATGATGGGGAACACTGGCGGCGCGTACGGGCAGCAGGGCCACGCCGGGATGACCGGCGCCGGCACCGGCGTGCACGGTGCGGAGTACGGCAACGCCGGCGAGAAGAAGGGATTCATGGACAAGATCAAGGAGAAGCTGCCCGGCCAGCACTAAATTAATAAGCTTATATAATTGACAGCCGGGGCAACACGTCGTCATGTGTGTAGTAGTATCTATCGTTTTAATCTGCGGAATAAATGACGTGCACTGCAGTGTATAGCGTCCTCGAAGAGAATAGTACTACTGTTTGGGCGTTCGCACGTGTTGGGTTGTACCTATAGCTTGTGATGCCATTGCAAGCTTTGTATGGTGTGTGTGTACACAGGTTTTTAGTGAAGTGTGTGACTTTGTTTTGGAATTTTCATGTGAATTTCGTAATATTCTACGGTACGCCATGCTTCGAGTCATCCTTTTTGATTGGAACTCCCATGTGTAAGTGTTTCTTGATTATAAGATTAATTTGGAGCCTATCACTGTGCTCTCTACTACTCTTTTCTGGTAGTAGAAATTAAGCAAAATGAACTGTCGATTTCGTCTGATTAGATCATTTGTACTATCTCTTATACTAACCCAATTAGCAATAACATGGGTATTATTGGAAAAGGAAAGTAGTAGAAATATGGAGGGTATTATTGAAAAAAGAAAATACGAAAGGGTATAATCGCTATTTCGTTATTTATGTAGTAACTAAACCTTTTTCCCTCTCTTTTTGCTTTTCCGATGATTTTGCGATGAAATATGAGTGATGCTAACCATCATAGAATCATAGTGCCAACACATCTACCATAGTTTACACGAAGCTAAATCTGTCGGGAGATCTCGTCGATCCCTCTCGATAAGGATCTCGTCGGTATCGCGGCTTTATATGTTCTCTTTGTACTCTCATATAAACTGGATTAGTGCTATTACCTTACGTGGGATCTGAACCAATATAATATCTATTTTTCTCGGTTTTGATGTCGTATCGTGTAGATCCTCGTATCAACGTATCTCAATACTTTTTTATCCGGTCTACGGCTATCCCCCGTCGACAAGTAAATAACACCAGACCATTGTACTAATAGCACCAGAACATCGCTCTAAGATTTCTTAACATTCTGGATAGAAGTTTTCATATTTTTCACACATTGATTATAATTATTGAATGTATTCTTATTGTTTCACTATTTTTTTAAGGGTTGTATTTGGTATTATTCGGTTTTAAGTAGTATCTACTTTTTATGTAAATATTGCATGGTATTTTTATGAGCTTTATATTTGTTATGTTTTAGTGATTACTATTTGTTTCGATTTTTACGGAGAGAGGTAAAGAGAATGGAAGGATGCATGTAGCTAAGACAAGAGCACGCATGATATAATAACTGCTTGTTGTATTTGGTATTATTCAGTTTTAAGTAGTATGTAGTTCGTATGTACATATTGCATGATATTTTTATGATCTTTATATTTGTTATGTTTTACGGAGAAAGGGAGGTGGAGAGAATGGAAGGGTGCATATAGCTAATATAAGGGCACGCATGATACAATAGCTGCTTGCGAACGCAGCAGCGTACGTGTCCAACCGTAGTCATATCTCGTTTTACAAGACCATTTCTACCATATCATGGTTGATCCGTATATTTTAATCAAGATGTTATTTAGATCAATCGAACTTATAAATCGCACAGTTAGGTTCTAAATATATCCATGATCCTGATTTAATGTGTCACATGTAGTCTAACTCGTCTTTGATAGATCTAAGGACCACGTGCACGTCTTCACAGTAGTAAACTCGTTTGCATTTAACCCCTCCAAAGCTCACAATGGCGAAAAAAATTACTCTTAGCCCCATTGCTCTATTTTTTTTCAGGGAGGGTGTGAATTTTACTGGCTAAATAGAGTGATTACAATCCCGTGGGACAAGATCATGAATACAAGTTGGAGCATCAAGTCTTCACACCGCATTATGTCTAGTCCTTCTGGCTAACCGAGCTAGTTCATGAGGCACTCTATTATCCCATCTTCCAACATGATTTAGACAGATCTTAGGAAGTAAACCAACAAAACTCTTCGCTTTCACCAACAAGGCACACCATCTCGATTTATTTTGCCCAAGGGGCATGAGTTTAATCACTTCTGTGCAATCGGTTTCAAGGACCCACATGCACGTCTCCGCAGTAGTAAACTCGTTTGTATTTAACCCCTTCAAGTTCACAGTGGCGAAAAAATTACACTTAGCCGCTATGCTCTCAATTCTTGCCAAGCCAACTTCTCTCTACTCTACTCTCTCTCTCTCTCTATCTTTTCCTCTATTGAATTAGGGAGGGAAAGCGATAGCAACGTAAAATCCGGTGGGGGGGGTAGAGAGAGGGCACAAAGAGCAATGAAGAGGAGGGAGGCGGGCATAATGGGAAAAAAATTCTATCCGGCAGTGCCGCACCAAGCCTCTCGTGCGGCACCGCGCGAACTAGCGATGCGTGTCCAGCTATCGCCCGCGCGAGCCGCGTCTATTGCGATTTCGTTGGAGCCGAGCCGATGCCTATCGCGACGAGTCCAAGCCGCAAGCCCGCACCTTGAAGTCGAATCGTCGCTCTCATCTGCCGCTTCGTGCGCCCACCGCTTGTTTCATCAGAGCGACCTATGATCTTCCTTCTTTCTTGTTCATAACAATTGATCGATCTAGTGTGTTTCCTTGCCTGCTGCACCGACGATCGAGCCATGTTTGCCGTCTCTGCTTGACGATTCCGCTCAGAGCATGGACGACCCTGCCGTGCAGCCGGCCATAGGCGGCAGGACCTCGTCGCATCCCGTGCTACGATCAACCCTAACACCGGAGTCAGATGGCATCGTCGAAATCTCAATGTTGGAGCCGTGTTCTGCTGATGCAATTGCCCTTCCTTTATCCTCAATTCCTACCATCGAGCCAATGGAAGATGCTTCAATGGGTTCAGCAGAGCCGATGGAAGATGCTTCGATAGGTTCAGCAACCACAATAGCTCCAACAGAGGTAAATAGCTCCGAACAAACTTTCTTGTTCACAACAATCTGATATATTATCGGTATATGTAATTCGTTCAAAATTTTCTTATTATACTGTTGGTGGATAACATGAATGGTCAATCTGTAATAGTACCTCAAGTTGGAATGTCTTTCAAATCAGAAAATGATGCGTATGATATGTACAACTCATATGCCAGGAAAATTGGTTTTAGTATTAGAAAGAGCACCACAAGATTGAGACCAGTCAAGACTATATACCAGAAGCATATAGTTTGCAGTAACCAAGGAGAACGAGGAAAGCACTCATCACATGTCACTTCAAAAGAAAATGCTACTACAAGGACGTGTTGCAATGCTCGTGTTCAATTCAGTATAAGTCGTGAGGGAATTTGGACAGTGCAAAAGGTTGTCCTCGAGCACAATCACTATCTTGCTAGTCCAAATAAGAAACACATGTTGAGGTCCCAACGTGATAGAGGCGGATAAACTTCTAATCAGTCAAATACGAGAAGCTGGAATACAACCAGCCCAAGTGTATGAGTTTTTCAAGCAATGGTATGGAGGAGCTGAGAATGTTCCATTCTCGCGGATGGATTGCAATAATTTGATTGGCCGTGAGCAGAAGAAGTACTTGCCATCCAATGATGCACAAACGCTACTGGAGTATTTGAAAAACAAGCAGTTAGAGGATCCTACTTTTTTTATGCCATACAAGTAGATCAGGAGGATGGTCGGATAGCTAATTTCTTTTGGGCAGATGGTCAAGCTATCATGGATTATGCATGCTTTGGTGATGCTATGTCATTTGACACCACATTTCAGACTAAAAAGTTTGAAATGCCTTTTGCTCCCCTCCTTGGAACCAACCATCATAAGCAGACAATTATTTTTGGGGCTGCACTGTTGTATAGTGAAATGATTGAATCATTTGTTTGGCTTTTCAACACATTTCTAACAGCAATGTCAGGCAAGCATCCTAGCACAATTTTCACAGATCAATGTGCTGCCATGGCAGCAGCAGTAAGGATAGTATTTCGAAACACAAGGCACCGTCTTTGTATATGGCACATTTATCAGAATGCTGCTAAACATCTTAGTCATGTAATTGCTGACCATCCTCAATTTCTTGCTGATTTTAAGAGTTGTGTTTACGAAGAAAGGTCTGAGGCATACTTCGACAAGAAATGGAATGAGTTGTTGAGTAGTTATAAGCTTGAGGAGAACTCATGGTTGTAGAACCTATATAAGTTGCGGGTTCATTGGGCTGCTGTCTTTCGTGATTCTTTTACTGCTGATATGACCTCTACTCAAAGGAGTGAAGGTATGAACAATGTTTTCAAGAAAAGGTTTCGTAGAAAGCTTTCCCTATCTAAACTCCTAGAAGAATGCGACAAGTGTGCAATGAGTCTTCGTGATAATGAGTTGGATGCAGACTACAAATCACGACACTCTACCCCTGTCACTTATATTCGAGATTTACCAATGCTGAAGACTGCAGCTGAGTTGTATACAAGAAGGCTTTATTCAGAATTTGAGGAACACTTTAAAGAGCAGTTTTCTTTCTCATGTAAATTCCTGAAATCTGAAGGGTCAATCATGACTTATAAGGTGATGCCTATGGAATTCCAGGAACAAAACAATAACATGTTCTTGTCACATGTATGAATGCATTGGTATGTACAAGCATTTTTCAATTGCACTATAGTTCACAATATATTTTGCTTAAAGTATTTCTACATGTTTGACAGGTATATTGTGCAAGCATGCTCTCCGAGTCTTTAATATCAATGAGGTTTTCATCTTTCCGAATCTTTAATATCAATGAGGTTTTCATCTTGCCAACTCAGTATGTACTAAATAGATGGACAAAATATGCAAAAAGAGGTTTTTATTTTGAGAAGAAACAAATAAGTGACAATGAAACTTTGAGAACGCATGCAGCGCGCATCTCTCGGAAGGCGACATCTGTTGCACAGTATCAAAAAGAACTTCTTGATGATATGGAAAAAGCTATAGACAAGTTGGACCTAGAAGCAGATAATTCACTGAGCAAAATACACACCAAAACTTATGAGGTTTCTGAAAGTTCTAATGGATGTGTTGGAGACATATTAAAAGGTAAAGTATCAATCAGAGTTCCTCAGGTCATAAAAGGTCCAAAGAATAAAAGATCAAAAACTGTACTTCTAAAGAAGAAAGGGAAGAAAGGAAATGCTGCTAAGAAAAAAGGTAGTGCTTCTCACTTAAAAATATTTTTTTACATCTCTCTTGTTAGCTAGTAATATTGATTCCCTTTTATATTTGTAATCTAAAGGAGAAGATCCAAAGAAATCAACAGACAATGGAGAAATGATTCAAGATCCAGATGAATTGATTGTAAGATTAATGATCTGGCTTTCCTTCCAATAATTCATTTAGCTGCACTTGGCCTGAATAATTTCATTTTTTTATTAGGGCTCTTTTGATGCAAACATTGATGATAATATGCATGAAGATTTTTCAACTATGGTTGCTCCTCCGATCCATGGAGAATATACAAGTCTTTTGTTTGGACTAGATCAAGATGCCATGGCTGCTCGGAAGTTACATTTTGATTAAATAGGAAATTATGGAACATGTAAGGTGTAGTCGTGCTTTGGCAATTATTTATTGACATGAGACTGTAGTTTTGCTGTGCCAGCAGCCTAGACCTTCTTTGTCTCTGCATCTGGATACCCTTTTAGCAGCCTGCTGAGAGCCTTGGTGCTCCTTGTGATTGGTTTGAAAGCTGGAATTCTGGAAACCCCAGCAGTTTGTATTTTCCTTTTCCCTTTTGTTTCTTTAAGTACTGTATGAACTCTTATGCTTTCAAGTAAAAGCTGGAAGGGGTAACCGTCTTTTGTCTAAAAAAACAAGACTGTAGTTTGCCATTCCACTGTTTTGGAGGTTTATAATAAGATGTTGGGCTTTATTTTGTGGAGATTTCCTATGTTTTGGAGATTTATAACCAGATGGATGCAAATCTTGATGAAATCTGGAAATATGTATTCATATGAGATCACTGTATCCAATCTGATAAGTAGAAATTACAATGTGCTCATTGACAACTGTTTACAACACCATATATTCACAGCATGCAAGACCATTTGGTCCAGATTTCAGAAGAAAAAGACAACCAAAACAATGCCCTTCAGGAGTAGTACAAGGCTATAAGCTAATTTAGCTATATTGGCCATATGCACTTCAAGTTCCTTATCTGCAGTGGACACTGGACAGACTATCAGAGTCTCCAGCTCCTCCTTTGGCGCTGCTACCTTCCATTTCTCTTTTCCTGGAGAGATAACAGATGTGTAGTAAGTCACTGTTCGCAGTAATATTCAGCAAATTAGCACTGCAATTTTGAAGAGCTTTAGTGAAACAACAAATATTCAGAAATAGCTCCATCTCCCAAGTGGACAAAATATTTGCAGAAGGTTCAGATAGTGAGTAATATGATTATGTCGACAGAAAACTTCTACAATTTCCAGTTGTGCTAGATTATTAAGAAACACTAATTTTACATCCTTCATGAACACCAATCCGTACATGAGAGAAAACTACGCTAATGCATTTAATCATTCCAAATTTTCAATCAAGCAATTAGAATCGAATTGCATATTTTCAAAAAACATACCTTCTTGCTGGCCTGCAGCTGCTACTGCTCCCTGTAGACCTGCTCACTCCTGCGGCGCTGCTGCTGCTCGGCTGCTCCTGCTCACGCGCAGCGAGCTCCCGCGCCGCCGCCGGACTCCTGCTGCACTGCTGCTCCGGCTCACGTGCTCCCGCGGCGCCACGCTGCCACCGGCCTGCTGCTCGCGGCTCGCGCGGCCGCTCTGACGCTCCGTTGTCCGCCTGCCTGTCGGCTGCCGCCTCGCGGCCTTGCGCCAACGCGCCGTCGCCCGCTGTAGGGGGGACTCAACTCCGAGGAGCAGCAGGGCCCTTATAGTGCGCCGCCACCGTTTCAGAAGCAACAGCAGCAGCCGCCGCCGGCCGTTGCCATAGCAGATGAGAGCGACGATTCGACTTCAAGGTGCGGGCCTGCGGCTTGGACTCGGCGCGATAGGCGTCGGCTCGGCTCCAACGAAATCGCGATAGACGCGGCTTGCGCGGGCGGCAGCTGGACACGCGTCACCAGCTCGCGCGGTGCCGCACGAGAGGCTTGGTACGGCACTGCCGCATAGATTTTTTTCCGGCATAATGTGGTGTCCTAATTTTTATAATCACCATCAAAGCTTGTAGTAGTAGGCTGGAAACACCTATAGTATGGGTGTCATTACTTTAATAATTATTATTATGATCACTGTTCTAGAGAGTCGAAGTAATGTAATCGATTTGGGAGTACCGTATGTAAGAAACTAATTAAATACAGATTTGTTACCATGGTGGGTTAGGTAGGGGCAGAATATAAACGCTTTATAAGATGTTCTTTTGATTTTGATAAGGTTAAAATTTGAAGATTTTAACCATGGATCAGTACACATCCAAATATAATTTACAAATAGAAATTTATAAGAGTTATAGACATAACTTTATATTCCCCGTAATTATTGATTTCATACCGGTGACAATATATTTTAAGCCAAAATAAGGGTTACAAAAGGTGAACTGTGGGAGCATGTGCCGTTTTCTAATTCTAGATAGAGCCCGAGGTAAACACATACGTGGCGGCCGGTGGCCGCATGGCGTCACCGACCCGGCGCGCTACACGCACACGTCCTTGCTCCGCCTTTATTCCCTTCTACGCACCAGCTCCGCCTCCTGGCTCACCCCATGCACGTACACGTACCCCCCTCTTCCGTACCCTTCCTGACCTACACTTCGGTTTTTTTATGTACTTCTCCAACCTCCAAGATCAGTATAAATGGCACGTACGCTACCCTTCTGTTCCCCTGCATCGATCACAAGACACAAGATTTTTCACTGATAGAATAGCAACACTTGGGTGAGAGATCAGACGCGTGTTTGAGAAGATGGAGAACTACCAGGGGCAGCACGGCTACGGCGCCGACCGCGTCGACGTGTACGGCAACCCGGTCGCCGGCCAGTACGGCGGCGGCGCCACCGCTCCCGGCGGAGGCCATGGCGTGATGGGAATGGGAGGGCATCACGCCGGCGCCGGCGGGCAGTTCCAGCCGGTGAAGGAGGAGCACAAGACCGGCGGCATCCTCCACCGCTCCGGCAGCTCAAGCTCCAGCTCGGTACGTTCACTGTCGTCCATTCATAAATCTAATTAATCGCCTCGCTTCTGAATTCCTTTATTTAATTTGAGTTGTACTCGTGTGCGTTTGTGCAGTCGTCTGAGGACGACGGGATGGGAGGGAGGAGGAAGAAGGGAATCAAGGAGAAGATCAAGGAGAAGCTCCCCGGCGGCAACAAGGGCAACAACCAGCAGCAGCAGCAGATGATGGGGAACACCGGCGGCGCGTACGGGCAGCAGGGGCACGCCGGGATGACCGGCGCCGGCACCGGCACCGGCGTGCACGGTGCGGAGTACGGCAACACCGGCGAGAAGAAGGGCTTCATGGACAAGATCAAGGAAAAGCTTCCCGGCCAGCACTAAATAAGCTCGACCGGGTCGTCACCAAATATGTCGTGATGTACGTGCAGTTTTATATGTTGTTGAATAAACTAGCGTGAAATGCGAGTGATGGTGTCTTCTGCCTTGGGACGGATGACACATTGTCTGTTGTGTTCTCGCGTCCGTGTCGGTTTTACCCTTGAAATGTAATATGGTGTGTGTACACACTAAGGTTTTATTGAAGTGTGACTTTGTGCTTGTGTTATTTGGCCGTACGTCTGTGGTGCTTGAAAGTAGTTTTTCTTCCATTGAAATTTCTAAGAGTACTTGACTCTACAACTTTTCTTTGAGGGGTACTTAACTGTACAACTAGAGATGAGTAATTTGGCCGTTTCCTCGCAGTTAGATTCGGCCAGTGGCCCGAGTTGATTCGTTAAGGAGGGACAGTTAACTTTGAGTGCAAACATTCAGGGAAGCGGAAACATGGAGCGCTTATTCAGAGCATTGGATTAGAGATGAGAATGAGAATGAAAAAGGGTGATAATAGAACTGGTTGGGAGGGATGCTCCAGCAGGCCTCACAAATCGTACACGACAATGTGTATTAAACCAAAGCGTCCAAATTCAAATAAAAACACTATGCTAAGATTTTGTTAATAGTGTGGTAAATGAAGGCATTCAGGATAGCTCATAACACTGTGTAGGGTCGGATTGTAATCAAACAGGAGAAGGTATCTGAGAAACCGCATTTTCAGGTGCCCTGTTTGGATGCTTGGCCTGTGTGGCGCAGCCAGAGCCCCATGGGCTTCTTTAGTTGCCGAAAAATCATGGGCTTCTTTAGTTGCCCAGAAATTTTCGCCCCTCATGTTACATCGAATATACGGATTCACATTTAAAACATTAAATATAGTCTAATAATAAAATAAATTACAGATTTTGTCAGGGAATACGTACGGATTCACATTTAAAATATTAAATGTAGTGTAATAATAAAATAAATTACAGATTTCACCAGGAAATACAAGACGAATTTATTAAACCTAATTAATTCATCATTAATAAATGTTTACCGTAGCATTATATTGTTAAATCGTAACGCAATTAGGCTTAAAAGATCCGTCTCGTAATTTTCCCGTGAACTATGTAATTGGTTTTTTTCTACATTTAAAACTTCCTACATACATGTGTCCAAATTTTTAATGCGACATCGTCAAATTTTGTTTGGAAACTGTTGCGTGCTGCCGTAGCCACAGCTGCAGAACCACCTACGATCTCCTCTCTGGAAAAGCGACTCTAGGGTGAAAAAGAACTTCTCTCCGGCCCCTTCATTTGAATGTGCGGTGACATTCAGGTCGCTGCCTTGAGTTGAGGCGGTTCGGCTTCTTCTCGCTGTTTTAGTTCCAACTTTTTTCTTCAAACTTTCAACTTTTTCATCGCATCAAAATTTTTCTTTTTTTGATAATGTAAATGTGTTATATCTCCAGCCTCTGCCCGTAGGCACACAGCCAAAAAATTCAGACGTGAACAGAAAAGTTAAAAAAGGCGAGATGGGACAAACTCCCAACTTCTGCCGATGATATGATCTACTAAAATAATATTTTTTTTCAAAATCACGTAGATTCTATTATGAAATTCTGTAGGTACTACGCCATCCAAAATGGAATAAAAGTTCATTGGCTACTAATTCCAAGCGTGTAGCACCATTGCGCATAGTATCCTGTTGTTCCTGTGAAAGCATCATACACCAAGAGTGGAGCCAATTGGAACACATGAAGATAATCTGCATGATGGTAGGCATTTTTTTATGGTTAAAAACTATATCATTACGGCAACGCCAAATTGACCAACATAAAGCACTAGCTCCAAACAAAATCATTTTTTTGTAGGTCTAGGCACTCCCCTTAGCCAGTCACCAAAAATATCTTTTGCATTGTGGGGAGGGGGGATGTTGAAGGCAAAGAAGACACATCGCCAAGCAAAACGTGCAACATGACAGTCAAAGAAAAGATGTTGGATGGTCTCTTGTGTGTTACAAAAACAACATTGCTTGTTTCCCCTCCAATTTCTCTTTATGAGATTATCTTTTGTCAAGATTACTTTTTTTGAAGAAACCACATAAATACTTTGATTTTTAGTAGTACCTTTACCTCCCATAAGATCCTCTTGTGGATTCTTATATTGGAATTGATGATCGCATTATACATGGATTTGACCGAAAAATGGCCATTTTTATGTAGCGACCAAATAAAGCAATCCTTTTCATTTGACAGGGTTATGTTAGCTAGTCGAGAGATTAGATCGTTCCACTCAACTAACTTTGGTCCTACAATTGATCGTCAGAATGAAACATTCAACGGTGTTGTGCTCATAACCTCTGCCAAAGTAGAATGTCTTTTTCGGACCACATTGTACAGAAAAGGATATTGATATTTGAGAGGTTGCAAGCCCAACCATGTGTCTTCCCAAAATCTTATTTCCATCCCATTACCAGGTTTAAAACATCCATACTGAAAAAATTGATCTTTTACTTTCATTAGGCCAGCCCAAAATTGGGATGTTCCTGGTTTGTGTGACATGTGGGAGAGGGGTTTACCCCTTAAGTACTTGTTGCGCAAAAGGTTTTGCCATAGGCCATCACCATTAAGAAGCTTGAATAGCCATTTGCTCAACAAACATCTATTCATGATATCAAGATTTAGGACACCCAGTCCACCTTGATCTTTTGGCCAGCATATATAATCCCATTTTGTTAACCTATATTTCTTTTTCTAGCTATCACTGCTCCAGAAAAAGCTCGATCGGTAGTAATCCAGTCTTTGAAGTACACCTCGAGGTATTTCAAAAAAAAGATAACATGAACATGGGAAGACTCGAAAGAACCGAGTTAAGAAGAACCAATCTCCCACCATAGGAGCTGTTTTTGCCCTTCCATGTGCTAAGTTTTCTTTGAAACCTATCCTCCACACATTTCCAATCAGAATTTCTAAGTTTTCGATAGTGTATGGGGATTCCTAAGTATTTGAATGGAAAGGAACCAAAGTTACAACCAAACAGTTGTCTATATTGGTCCTCCATTTCCTTGGCTCCCCCAAAGAAGAAAATTTCACTTTTATGAAAGTTTATTTTCAGCCCCGAGAGATGTTCAAACACACAAAGAATGGCTTTCATGTTTTTTGCTTGTTCAAAATCATGTTCAAGAAATATTATTGTATTGTCGGCATATTGGAGAATGGACAAACCATCATCCACTAAGTGTGGAATTACCCCTCTAATTTGGCCATCGACTTTGGCTCTTTCAATAAGAATGGCTAACATATCAGCCACTATGTTAAAAAGAATTGGGGACATTGGATCCCCTTGTCTCAAGCCTTTGCATGTCCGGAAATTTTTTTCTACATTATCATTGACTTTGACACTTACAGTTCCTCCTTCAACCCAGTTGGAAATCCAATTGCACCACGATTGTGAAAACCCTTTCATTCGTAATGTCTGCTGAAGGAACTGCCATTTAACTTTGTCATAAGCCTTTTCAAAGTCAATTTTGAATATGATACCATCCATTTTCTTTGTGTGTAACTCATGGATAGTCTCATGCAAAATCACCACCCCTTCCATGATATTTCTATTTGGCAAAAACGCTGTTTGGGTTGGGCGAATGACTTTGTGAGCAACCGTTGTAATCCTATTAGTGCCAACTTTTGTAAAAATTTTAAAGCTGACATTCAGTAGGCAAATAGGCCTATATTGTTGAATTTTGATTTGCATCAGCCTTTTTTGGCAGTAGCACGATGATCCTAAAGTTTAGGTTATAAAGGGATAATGTCCCTTTATGAAATTCTCTAAATAGAGCCATGAGATCATTCTTAACAATCTCCCAAAAGACCTGATAAAACTCTGCAGGAAAGCCATCTGGACCTGGGGAGGAGTTATGATCCATTTGAAAAATTGCCTTTTTGACTTCCTTTTCTGAAAATTCAATAGTAAGGATGTCATTTTCCAAGTCGGACACTTGAGGAATATCATCAGTCCATCCCTCTATCATGGATACATGATTATGATCTGGAGGACCAAATAATCCTTTATAATAATTGGTAATGTATTCTTTGAGATTCCCCTCACCCGTTATTATAGTGTCCTCTTGTTCCAACTGGAAAATCATCTGCTTACAATGTTTACCATTGGCTATCAAGTGATAATATTTAGTATTACTATCCCCCTTGGAGTAAATGATTTGTCTTAGATCGCTGGTACCAATACAACTCTTCCTCCCTTAACAGTTTTGCCAAATCATTTTTGGCCTGCTTCAACGAAGCTAACTCTGTGTTGGAGAGAGTTATGTGTTCGGCTTTTTTGTTTAGTGTGTCAATTAAAGCTAAAAGCTTTATTTTTTGTTTTTTATATGTGCCACTTAAACTTCGCGCCCAACCTCTTAAATGTTGCCTAAGGTGGACGATCTTGTGTTTCCAACGTTCCATAGGATTCTTTCCCTTGTTTACGCTTTGCCACTCTTTGGCTACCATCTCAAAGAATCCATCCCGCTCTAGCCAGCCTAATTCAAAACGAAATGGCGGCTGATTGCCGAAATGTGCATGCGAGCCGGATCTCAGTATAATTGGAGAGTGGTCTGAAATGGCTCGAGGTAAGGCTTGACACGTAACTAAAGGATATTTTTGCTCCCAGTCAGTGTTCATTAACACTCTATCCAACTTCTCATAAGTTGGATTTTCGAGGTTATTGGCCCAGGTGAATTGTCTCCCCGAAAGATCAATCTCTCTCAAATTGAGACTATTGATGACCGCATTAAAAAGAAAAGGCCAACGAGGGTCAAAAGAATTATTATTCTTTTCTTCGGGTGATCTAATGATATTAAAGTCCCCCTACCAATAGAGGGTATGACTCCTTACCACAAGTCTGAGCTAGTTCCGTCAAAAATTGTTCTTTTAACTCGGGTTGAGCAACACCATATACTGCCATTAAAACCCATTTGAAACCATCCTCTTTATTTCTTAGAAGAAACTTCACATAGAAGTCCCCTTCTGAAATTTCACCTATATCAAAAACATTTAAATTTACTCCTAAAAGTATTCCTCCTGATTGCTTGATAGGAGGTTTCTCATGCCAAAGAAAATCTTTTCCACCACAAAGGTTTTTAAGATTTGAAGGGGGTGAATGATGGTTTTCTAGTCTCAAGAATAGCAATAAAATCCAAATTTTGCTCCTTAACACATTCAGATATAAATCTAAATTTAGATGCATCACCAAAGCCACAACTATTCCAAAATATTCCTTTCATTTCTTAAACTTATTAGCTTTCTTTTTTGACCAGTCAAAAGAGGACATACCACTTTATGTTTGATTTTGGTCAAAATCTTCCTCATTTGAGGTATGGCCTGAGATACATAAATTTTTAACTTTTTATTTAATCATTCTAATTTTCAACAAAACTTTTAATTTTGGTTAAACACACCCTTAAGTTGATTGTTTCTCGTGGTCAAGTCTAATCATCTATTTTTTTCCCATTTTTTCCTGGGCTGGCCGGAGTCCGGCAACCATGTCCCGGCGACGGTGTAGCTGCGTTGTGGTTGCACACTGTTGCATGTTCAGGACGCCCATCGACGCAGCGATTTGAGTGGAGGAAGTAATCAAATTTAGCCAGAAAACTTATCAAAAACCGATTTATAAAATTTAGGCATTGTTTAGTTTCTAAATTTTTTTTCACAAAAATATCACATTGAATCTTTAGACATATGTATGGAGCACTAAATATACATAAAATGAAAAACTAATTGCACAGTTTGCATGAAAATCACGAGACGAATCTTTTGAGCCTAATTAGACCATGATTAGCCATAAGTGCTACAGTAACCCACGTGTGCTAACGACGGATTAATTAGGCTTAATAAATTCGTCGGTTTCTAGGTAAGTTTTGAAATTAGTTTTTTTATACGTGTTCCTTCCAATATCTGATTAATTATCCGATATGACACACATGAACTTTCTTTTCGCGAAATAAATGGAGGAAGTACGTTTCTAGTGTTTCCAGAAAAAGTACTAGTTTGACTTGTCAACATGAAGTAAGTATCAACGAAACTAGTGGTTGCAATGCCGTCGACGCTTAGAAAAAGTACTACTAGACGCAGAATAAAGGAGGGAACGTCCGGAAATCCACGTCGCACTCCTGGACACTTGAATCAGTGGCAACCATCGTTTCTATTATTGTAATCCAGATCCCACACACTATTAATTACTCGTACATCATATTATCTATCCATTACTTCCGTTGTGTCTCATCCCTTCCAGAGAATTCGCATGCTGGCCGTGTACGTACGTGGCGCCGCGCTGATCGACATGCATCCTCTCGCTGATCATGCTCGATCAGCATTGTTTAGCTTTACGCCCACCTGGATCACAATGTGCCGTGCTGTCCTCGTCTCTGACATGATCCGGTTGCAATATTTTATCCCTCGCCGGAGCAGCATAAATACCCAGCAAAACCTTGCAGTAATCGGAATCCATTCAGTGCCAATCAGGTAATCAGTGTGAGAGTCTTTTCAAAGCGAAGGAGCAAATTAGCTTTTGTGTTGTAGATCGAGCAGGCTAGGTATAGCGAGAATGGAGTACCAGGGGCAGCATGGTGGCCACGCCAGCAGCCGCGCCGACGAGCACGGCAACCCTGCAGTGACCACCGGAAACGCACCCACCGGGATGGGCGCCGGCCACATCCAGGAGCCGGCGAGGGAGGACAAGAAGACCGACGGCGTCCTCCGCCGCTCCGGCAGCTCCAGCTCCAGCTCATCCGTACGTCGTCTTCCTCCCAAGTTTATTGTATTTTTTCGGTTTGATTTCAGAACTGTTCGGATTGTAGCCACTTTTATCCATTTCAATATTTGATAGTGTCAAATTTTGACATATTTTGGTACTACCAAATTTTAATAATCTTGGTTGTATTTAGTTTAATATCTTACCAAAAGATAATAGAATTTTAATTTAAGAATGAAAAATTCTAAAATTACCAAAGTTTGGCAGGATAGCATTAGCACGAAGGTATTTGGTTTAGTGTCTTTCCAAAATTTAACAATGCTAAAATTTTATATGGTTAAAATTGGTAATAAAGTGAACAAACCTTTCGTACTCATGGTCTGAATAATGAAACATATATACTGCCAATTGCTGACCAATTTGCAGTCTGAGGACGATGGGATGGGAGGAAGGAGGAAGAAGGGGATCAAGGAGAAGATCAAGGAGAAGCTCCCCGGCGGCAACAAGGGCAACAACCAGCAGCAGCAGCAGGAGCACACCACAACAACGACCGGCGGCGCGTACGGGCCGCAGGGCCACGATACCAAGATCGCCACCGGCGCACACGGCGGCACCGCCGCCACCACCGCGGACGCCGGCGGCGAGAAGAAGGGCATCGTGGACAAGATCAAGGAGAAGCTCCCCGGCCAGCACTGAGCTGCTGCATGCCATGTGTGTGATCGGTGTTTCGATCCGACGATCGACTTCGATCACAAACAACGAAGGATCTCCCTCCTGAAGAATAATAATATTGTGTGTCCTTGTATATCTGTGTGTGTGTTCCGGGTAAACAATAAAGTCGTGATGCAGCCACGGCATGTGTGCGTACGTGTACGTAGCACTGTATGTAAGTGCGCGTGTGGTATATGGCGTGTTGGTTAATTTTCGTATATTATTTGGCTCAAATTATATATTTTAAACATCTATGTGAAATCTGTTTATCGTGACAAACGGGGCTACCTATAGATTTCTAGTTTCGAATCTAGAACATTTTTCAATCAATGAATGTAGCCTATTTTAAATGAAAAAAAAACAATCATGTCAAAAATCATCAATCTAGAGAAAGAAACGGTTGTCAAATTTGGTTGTCAAATTTAGTTTTGTTGACGGAGTGTAAATGAGTGTAACTATAAATTGAAAATATATAATAACACGAATCTTGGTGTAAGATCTCGTAGACGAAAAATTAAGAGATAAAAACGTAGAAATTTATCGCAAGTGAAACAGAAAAACCGCTTACATATTAAGCAGCACCTCCCCGTGATCGTAAAATACTACTCCTTTCTCATAAAAACCAGGACTGAAATGCTTCCTATCCCTCCGTTTCATATTATAGGACTTTCTAGCATTGCCCACATTCACTTTAAAGGAATAAATTCACTTTAAATCTCTCATTTATCGAAGAGTCTAAATTAGTCCATAAACGTTACTACCAGATATAATGCGTCTTTAAGTCCTAAAATTAGTATAAATAAGGTCTTAAAATAGTTTGGACAGTGGTTTCGATTGACATGGCGCTTACGTCACAATAACGTGACACTTAAAATCATAAAAAAACAGTGTGACCCACATGTCAATGAGTGTTATGTTAAAAATAAAAAAAATTGCACTGGGGACCCATATCACCCCCTTCCCCTCTTCTCTCCCTTCCTCATAAATCTTTCTTTACTTGTCATCTACGATGCACTCCGATTCTGTGGCACTGACGGTATTGATGAGAGGCAGGGCGTCAGCATGGGAGGGGGGGGGGAGTTGCTAGTGGCGCACGGGGCCACAGGACGTAGGTGGCGGCGGTGTGGACAAGTGTGTCATCATCGGCGGAGGAGAGTGTTGGCAGCGCGGGAGCATTTCCTGTGGCCGCGTGCCTCATTCCCATTTCTTCCCCCCGCGCCCGTGTCGGAGTTGTAGGTGGACAACGATGGCGCGGGGGAGCATCTCCTCACTCCCGCTCGCCGGCTGGCTAGATCCTTCTCGTGTGCTCAGCCGTCTGATGAGCTTCTCGTCCTGCGCGTCGGGCGCCGACTAAGTCCTCCTCGCATGGATGACTCCTTTCGTCTTTGTCCTAGTGCTGCGGCACGCTGAGCAGGCCATGTTCTCAGAGAAACAATGGTAATAAAATGTGGTCTAAAGTGAGATTTACTCATTTAAAAACAAAACTTCACAAATTGACGTAATACTACTGATTTACATATACAACTTCTAAGAATATTGAATGATATTTGTTTGGTGGTGTGCACAGTGTGTGCAAGTGAAGGCTTCATTGTATAGAATACTTCTATTTGACATTAATAACTCCACAAATTGTTCATAATGTCCTATGATGATCATCATTATCATCATTAATTACTATTATTATTATTATTATCATTATTTTCTGAACAATTTAAATTATAGTAGAGTTGTCCTCCTCCCACACTATCGTTGATCCCCCACGGCCCACACTAAGAAAATAACCTTTTCCCTATTGATCACTAAAAAAACCATTGTTTTACGCGAAAATCAATCCTCAGAAAAAATGGATACAAAAAACTGAACCCCATAATTTCCGAACCAATATCATACAGTATGAAACTAGCCACAACTCATTTTCTCAAGGATTAATCTCAACAACCTGAAGTCATATTTCAATTTGGGTTTTGTCCTACTCAGCACGAAGATTTTCTAGCAGTATTGTCTTACTCAATCTCATCTCTGAATTGACTACACGAGTCCTAAACCACCAAATTACAAGATCCCACCGAATAAACCAACTTGCAAAATCTTGTCCAAGAAAATGTAAGGCGCTGTCATTTGAGTCAAAATGAGCAGTTGAATCGATGCACTGAACAATAAAACAAATGAGCAGTGAGTGATTAATCACCTCAAACAAATTCAATACCAAGTACACGTTGTTGAGGCAGTGAGCTGGACGGAGTGGCAGAGAACGGCGATGATGCAGATGAGGTGAACGACGACGGCCGCGGCAGCACCAAGGACGGCCGGCCGGCCGGCAATGCCCTCAACGGAGGACCGGCGGCGCCCTAGATCAACAGGATGCCGCAGCCTGGACGGAGGTGGTGGCGGAGGCGGAGCAGGACGACGTCTTCGACCGAAGCAGCTGGGGAACCCGCAGCCCCACACCCTAGAATAGCGGCACCCAGGCGAGGATTCCAAGCGCGGCGTTGTGGCGAGTGGGGAGAAAAAGAAGACGACAGTGTGAGTGTGGAGTGGGGAAAAAAAAGCGCGGATGAAGAAAAAAAAATGGCGCGAGGCTGCCGAGATTGGCGCGAGGCTGCTGAGTTTCCCAAAACCTGATTCGGATTGACACCGTTTTTGGGCAAGAGTTAATTTTAGGTTCACTTTGGGCTATCTGTTGGAGGGCTTCTTTTTTTTTTCAAATTACCAAAATTTGTCTTTTGGGAATCCTTTTGGCCTTATCTTGGAGATGCTCTTACAACGCACGGGCTTGGCACACTAAGGAGTTTTACGTACTAAGGAGAGAGAGCAAAAATCTGAAAACGCTTGGTTAAACGCAAGAGCTACTCCCTCTTTTACATATATATATATATATATATATATATATATGTTAAATGTGGGCAATATTAAAAAGTCTTATAATATGAAACGGAGGAAGTAGTACATACGTGGCAAATGGCAGATTCCCTCTAGCGCACTATATAAACCAATCACCGAGATAGAGGTAGATGCACTCGAGCACTGTTCTCTTTCTCTTCCTCGGACAAAACCCTCTCTATTCCTGAGCTACCCACTATTTCTCCAGTTCTGTTCACCTGCGCGCACGGGTGACAGGATGAGCAGCAGGCCTTCGGAACTCCATCCGCTTGCGTACCTGTACGGGTAGGCGGGCGATCAAATTTTCGTGGAGCGTCTCGGCGTGACTACATTGCGACTCTTCTTTCTCTGCATCGCGATGGCTTCCATTGGAGAGAACAGTGGCATAGCAGGTGCTGGAGGGAACGGCGGCGTTTCAGGAGGAGGAGGGAACGGCAGTGCTCCAGGAGATAACACCAACGGAGGCAATACTAATGCCTCAACCTCCTCTGCACCATTTTCCTGGTATATAGCTCTATCTCTAATTGATGTTCTTTCAGTTATTTATATGTTCATCGTGCTATCCTCAGGATTACAATCCTATGTGAATGTTGATGATGTTTGTGCTTATGTTGCCAAAAGCATGCTATTGTGAATGTCATGTTTATTATCTTGTTATTATGCCGAATTATGGCCAAATTTCCAACATTATATATTCTGTCTTGATCCAACAAATGCAATGGCGCCTAGCCTGGCAAAGATGGAGGCCTGCTTGAGGCATGACACTGGCTGGCCTAGTGGATAACTATGTCGAAGCCCATTAGCTTAGAAGCAGCGTTTGGAGGCAGCGGTCGCCTCCCTCACTACATTTCCCTCTCCCTGATGGCTAGCTTGCCGGGTCAAGCTAACTGGAGGCCGAGGAACACGGGACCGGCCGCCTCCAACCCCACCACCCCACATATCTCTGCTGCCAATTGCCCCCTCAATGTCCATGCCAAGAAGAAGCTCTCAATCGCCTACACCACTCTCAGGGGCTGCCACAAGCTCCCCATGCCCAGACCTGGCCACTCGATGTTCGGGGCCACCATGAGCTTGGGCGTGGTGGCATCTGGCCAGTGTGGCTTGAAGGAGATGATGGATGCAGCAGCAACTTGAGGGAGATCAATGACAACGCCGTTGTCTCTGCTGGGACGGCAGTGGTGAATCCAATATGGTGTTGGTGTTCTTGTTCTGTTGAATGTGTAGCTTTTGTCCATGGCAGCACGATTTTGATCTGTGATGTGGTTGTTCCAGTAGTGTTGATGATATTTGTTGTATAATTGAATGAATGTGAGTAGCTTGTTCTTGGTCTGTGTTGACGGTCGTTAGCGATCAGTTTCGACCGTCAATATTACCAAAATAGAGGAGAACTAGTTATGCTTGCGATGCATATTTGTGTTAGAATAATAATATTCCACTAGTATTTGGTTCACTAACCTTTTCCAGAGAATAACTATAAAGTGGAGAAGAATCAATATCAAATCAGACGATAAATCAATCGGACGATGTCGAGAATCAGACTTGTGTATGAAAGGGCCAAGAACATAGAAATGACACGACCAATTGGGCCAAAATTCACAAGTCTGCGGAGAGGAGAAGTCCAGGAGGCCACCAGCCAACTTGTGGGATGGTTGGGCCAGCCTAGGGTCCGGCCGAACCAGGGGGTTCGGCCGAACCAATGCCAGTGCTGATGGATTCAGGGTTTTGGGGGAACGGTGGAGATTCACTCCCTATGGTGGTTGGAGGGTATTTTCGACCATTCCAACCACCATAACTGTCATTACCTGCCTATTTAAGGAGCTCACTCTCTCCATTTCAACACACACCTCAAGCAAAGCTCTTTCATATTCTCTCAAGTTTAGTTTAGTAGTCTTAAGCTAATGGAGTAGGAATAGAGTAGAAATCGGAGTCCGGAAGCCTTCGGAAGAGTTCGGGTATGGCTCTAGTAGCTCTCCTTTCCTCTTTTGTAAGCTTTGTACTTTTATTAGAATACTATTCTTTATACATTTATGGTATTGAAATACTTTCCGAGTGTATGAATGCCAACTTTACAGTATGATCATGTTATACTGATTATACCGCTAGCTTATTTGGGAGATACATCGGTACGAGTATAATGTTTACTTATGCAATTACTCTATGTCATGACGATGATATTAGATTAGTATCTGGTAGTTTATGTGTGGTGTCTAGATTACGGGATATCATTATTTGGGGTTATATGCTGTGGATGAGAGGTGGGCCACTGATGGTGACAGCTTAGTACAGGTATTCCTTCCTGCATGTATATAGTCCTAAGTTAATTTTTTGGGGAGGGTACTCCTCCGTATTTAGCCCCGGTTGTATGGTTATGACGGGCTGTCGTAAGAAACTTGGC